TTAGATACTCACCATCAATGCAAACTTCTGAGGGCTTAATTTGTAGGAGCTTCTTCTGATTAACGTAGGTATCAGTCTTTCATATAAGATAAATATTGTGTGGTTACAAACTGCAATTGAAATGTGTAACTTGGTAACAGATGCCGGTCTATGTGACCTTTTGTAACAGGAGGGTTCTTTTATCACTCGAGGTTTTGGTTTTATATTTCTCATCCACTCTACTCCACCAGCTTAACTGAGAACTTAAATCAAAACCTAATGAGACTACATATGCTGTTTAGGAAAAAGTTTTTGGAAACATCATGATTCATATAAGACTTGATATACCCAGAAAAATGAGAATAAATAACTGCAATTTTAGTTGTTTCAAATTATTTTCAACCAACTTCTTAAATAATAAGAGTTGGACATAGCCCTATGATAAGAAAAGACAAAATAAGAAAAAAAAGAAAAAAGAAAAAAGAAAAAAGAAAAAAGAAAAAAGAAAAAAGAAAAAAGAAAAAAGAAAAAAGAAAAAAGAAAAAAGAAAAAAGAAAAAAGAAAAAAGAAAAAAGAAAAAAGAAAAAAGAAAAAAGAAAAAAGAAAAAAGAAAAAAGAAAAAAAGAAAAAAGAAAAAAAAAAGGAAAAAAAAAAGGAAAAAAATCCAGGAACAGTTCTATAAGCACCAGCTCTATATTTCATCTATATTCAAATCAGTCAAATCAATTATAAAATCTATATTAAATGATAAAACCCTTGATTGATGTGCATGTTTTCAACTAAGAAGAAAGAAAACTCATCTGTTTTCTGCATGTTTCTGATACCAACATCTCGTCAAATCAGAAATTGTTATGGTTGGTATGTACACACTTAGCACTAGGATGTGAGATGAAGCTTGCATTTTAGCCATGTTGATACAAAAAAAAAGGAAAAAAGGTATATTTTTMTTTTTCTATTTTGATATTTTAGTAGGAAAACTGAGCGATTACACACTATTTCAACTACAACGAAGTCACCTAAATTATACATTTCAGTATTAATCAAAGGTCATATTTTAAACACTCTTAACTTTCGCCGTATAAAGGAAAAAAGAAGCTATGTCTGAAAACATTACTTGCCATTAATAAACATGTTTACAAAGAAAACTTTGATCTCAGATATTTTTCATAAAGACATAAGTTGTATCTCTAAAAAAAAAACCCACAAATTTAAAAACCTCTACATTTGTATGTCCTACTTAGTTATTTGACCCAGTTCATACTCAGAAGTAGCCAGAATATTCCTCTATTCCAGAAAGTGATTGCCTGCTGACTTCAGAATGAGAACTTGAGTATTTCCCCTGATAGAAAGCTGRAAAGTTATTATGAGGAACTGTGTCTTCTAACTTCACACCAATACTCTACTGTGTTAATTGCTTGAATTGTTAATTGCTTGAATTCCTGTGTCACATTGCATACAATGTCCATAAATATAACTATTGCTTTAAAAGCAAAATTTTATTAAAAGGAAAACATTTTTAAAACAGAAAAGTTTAGAAGGATGCACAAATTCTGCTACTTCATATTTCACTATTTGAATTTATAATGCATTCAAATAAGCTATCTGACCATTATATTTATTATTTATTGATTATTGATATGCAGTTTTTAACGAAAAGAAAATATATATAAAGAAATCAGATTTCATTATACGTTTGTGTATGTATAATCAATGCAAGATGGGTTTTCTATGAGACAACATTGATATCCAGAACTTCTAAAACAAGCCCAGTGTAYCCCAACTACGCAGTGTGTATATTGATACTATCAAGTGTATATATTGATTTTTAAAATTCTCTGAAAATCACAGTTCTTAGTATCTTCTGTAAAACTTCCAAAAATCTCAAAGCATATCAATATGAAGTTTGATAGCAGATCTATTAAAAATTATAAAGCCACAGCTTTTTACACAAAAAAAAAAAAAAAAAAAAAGTAGGAATATACTTATCTATTAAAACTGAAACCAAAACTCACCATATGAAAATCTACGAAGAGGGGAATAACCAAAAAAACTCCTGACTTCAAACAAATTTGTACAATACCAAACAATTAGTTTACAACAGTTCTTCAAAGACTGAGGAGGCATACAGTGGAACAAGTTAATTTCCTTCTTGTTTCAGGTAAAGGTTCAGGTAAAGGAATGATAATGAAATATCTGATTTTTACATAAATACATCAAGAATATTTTGATATGTACTGCTTATTAGAACCCTAAATGCTTTTCTGTAAGACATCACTAGCTGTACTGTCAGTAATCATCCCCATGACTTTCACTCTTTAACTTTTGAATAGACACTTTCTGGACTGAGAGAAGTTGGTAAGAGGGGTTTTGGGTTGAGTAATATGCAGAGCAACATATATTGATTTTGAACTATAATTGATCAACAGGATGAAAAGCTCTCTTCTACTCTGAATGTAGCTCTCAGAATACTAAAGATCTTTGAAATGTAAATAGATTATTTAATAAGTCTTTTATTGCGGTAAGCCAGTGCTTACACACATGTTTATTGAATAATGTCAGTATTTTTAGCATTTTGTTTAATATATAATAAAAAAAACTCTACCGAGACAATCAAGTTGTGTGTACCTAGAATGCATAGTCAGATGTAACGCTTTTATTTTCTAGTCATATATTAAATGTTGATTCTCAAGCCAGTATTCTTAAGAAGTATTTGGATGTCCAGTGCTCAAAATGATAGTGCCTWGGTACTCAAAAACCCAACTACTTCCTGACAGAGCTTAACACACGAAATACAACAGCAGAAATCACAATAAAATGCCATGACATTCACACAGACTAGTCACCACAAATTTCTAGCTTCACCGGGAGACACTTGAGGGCAGACCATGCAGACACTCGTCAAACCACAGGCCACGCACCGTAACCAGAGCCAGAGCCAACGAGTGTTTAGAAATACCAGAGGTCTCAGTGAACCGAACCGCGCTCCAGGACACAAGCGAATGGGGTCAGGAGCACAAGTGCCAGAGTTATTTCTGGAGTTATTTCCCCGCGGCGAGGCCGGCGCTGTGAGCAGCGCGCGGCCCTTGTCTTGCCTTGCAGCACCTCGGACAGCAGCCGTCCCGCCCGAGCCACCGACTCTCCCGGCCCCGGCCTCCCCGGGCCCGCCGCGCCGGGGCAGGGCAGGCGCTCCATGCTTGCAGAAAAGAAAGAAAAGGGGGAAGGAGAAAAAAAAAAAAAAAAAGGGGGGGGGGGCAAAAAAGCACCTAGTTTTTCCCTCTTGTCAAAATTTTAACGCAGACTGGTTGGCCAATTTCTCAAAATATTGCATAATAGCATCGATAGGTTTGGCACTTGGAACTGAACTACAGGGCAAGTGCACTGCTCTTGCTTTGCTTGCTTATACAGTCAATGCAACTGGTTAATGTTTTTTTTTTCTTTTTTTTTTTTTTCCTTCAATCAGCAGAAATTGATATAGAAGTATTCAGACTTTTCAGGCTCTCAAGGGGAATTAAATCTACAGGGAGCATTTGCTATTCTGTAGATTTTTGGCATCTTTTATGCAAGGACATGTTGTAGAGCAAAGACCAACTTTGTGGTAAGGTTCAATCAAGACTAAACTGTGACATAAAAAAAAAATCACCTTAAGAATGTAGATGTTGATTATTTGGCAGCACTATCTGTAGGTCAATGAAGACATCACTGGTATTGCAAAGATGTCTTCACACCAGCGGGCATATAGTTATATTTACTTTTTATTGTCTCCAAATCACTCAATTTGAGATAAAATTTATGTTATCAGTAAGGGAGCACATAAAATAGATGTGATGAGTGTGTATACACTCATGATGCAGTGGAATCAAAAAAAAAAGAATGAGAATGCTTTGGTCAAGTCAAATGAAAAAAAATGATGGCAACATTCGCATTTCACTGAAAGAGATAACGAGAATACTTCTAGCAGGACTGAGGGCTTATTTTGATGTATAATAGGTGTAAATTATAACATCTTGTCAAGTAATGAGATTCTTTGAGCACGTGCTGTTATCACCAAGTGTTTATCACCAGAAAGTCCTGCTGAAGTTACAGAGTGTTATGGTACAGCCAGGCCTTCTACTGGAGTGGTGATTTGTATGTGTTATTGTGCTCCACTGGCAAAACAGGATTCATTAATRTAGTGCTAAAGTAGTCTAGACAGTCGACTCTGCAGGCAGAAACCATTCATATGGCCTGAGATAGTAAATATACAAATATATGGGGGTAATAACATAAATAATAAATAACATGTTGACTGTTTTTGTTGATGATGATTTTTCTTAAGGTATCAAATAAAACCTTTCTTTTTTTTTGCTCCTTTTTTCCTGCCCTTTTCTGTCTTGAGAGCTGGGCCAACTAATCTTGCGCAAAAGTCGAGAGCAGACAACAATTACAAAGAAGCAGAGCGAGATTCTCTGCTTCTAATAAAACTGGAGAGGGGGGAATCTCTTTGGATGTCTCTGACAGGTCACGGGCGACCCTGCGAGGGAAAGGCCGGCGCTTAGGGACAAGCTGTCACAGTCGCCCCCCGAGCGGAGGTCACTGCAGCGGCGGGMGCATCCAGCCCTAGCGCAGAGCTCTGCCCAGCTCCGCAGGGCTCCGGCCGCCCCGCGCCCGCGCAGCGCCGCGCTCATTGTCATGCAGCTGCCGTCGCCGCCTCCCGACGAGCCGCGGCCGAGTCCGCTGGAAGCCGCCAGCCGAGCCGGAGCCGATCGCATATTCATGAGCAGGGGGGGAAATCCCGCTCCGTGCTCCCAGAGGAGCGGGAATCGCGGGTTTTTTCGTTGTTGTTAGCCTTCCCCCTCGGCCTCCCTCCCGAGCACTGCGCACACTGGGGCTCTCTATAGCTCCCCGCCAGCAGCACCCGAAAACCCGCGGCCAGAGGCGGGCGGAGCAGCCAAAACTGGGAGCCCGGCAGGCACAACAGACGAGGGAGGCTCGCCAGCCAGCCCGCCGCCGGCAGGGACACGAGACACAGCAGGGGCTCCTACCTTACAATCCTCAGGACACGATTTCACCGAGTACTCATCCGACTGTAAATATTTCTGGAGCATAACCTCAAACTCTTCGTATTTCTCCTGAGCGTGCTGGTCGTAGCGCTGGTAAGCCTGGACGCACTGGCTGCAGGAGCCTTCCCCCTCCAGCACCACATCCAGACTGCAGTTCAAAGTGTCCGGATTGGACAACCCGGCGAACAACTCCCAAAGGGTGTAGGAATTACAAAAGGAAAGGTAAAAATCCGTGAGATCCCAGCCGGGCGCCGGGCTCCGCGGCCCCCCCCGCCGCCCGCACACCGCCTCCGCGTCGCCCACGCTGAAGCACTGCCCGGACGAGGAGCTCTGCGGGGGGCAGCTCTCCACGGGCCTGGCGCTGGAGTTGCCCAGGAAAAGAGCCTTGCCGTGGCGGGGCTCGCTCTCCTTGCTCTGGCCGCCGCCGCTGCTGCTGCTGCCGCTGCTGGGGGAGGGAGGGCGAGGGGGGAGCGAGGAGACGCGGCGCGGGGGGCGCGGGGGGCGCGGGGGGCACCGGCTCCCCCATGCCCGCCAGCAGCTCCTGCTCCGCGGGCTCCGGCTTCTCGGGCGGCTGCTGCTGCTCCTTGTCTCCGGTGCCCGTGAATTTGGCCTCGGCGCAGAACCACAAGTGATCAGAGAGCAGGACGGTGAAAAACAAGAGCGATGCCAGGGACAGTCGCCATTTCTGAGCCCTCTCCGAATCCGTGAAGGGTTTCTCGTTCTCTCGGGGTGCAAACCAGATTTTTAAGCCGTCGTCATACTGCCGACTGCACATCCAAGCACCCCTGGTCATATTTTGGGAACGCACAGCCCTGGCCGACTCCACCGTGAGGGCTCCTTTGCCAGTGTCACCACAATATGCATTGACTTAAAAGATTGAGGGGATTTTCTTGCCTTCTTCCTTCCCTTCTCTCCTCTCGTTCGCTCGCTCCTTCTTCCACTCTCTCCCTCTCTCTCTTTCCCCCTCTTCTTTCCGCTTCTTTTTCTTCCTCTGAAATGTCGCTGGGTTTTGCCGGTGTTTCTGCCTTGGTCTCACCACACGAAGCAGCCCCAATCCATCCAGCACGGAGTGCCGTGGAGAAGATAAGAGCAATAACGCAGAGAGAGGAGGAGGGAGAGGAGATGGTGATGGTAGTGGTGCTAGTTGGTGGCGGTGGGGCTGCGCGGTGGGTCCTTTCCCCCTCTCATCCAGGCATGGTCAGATCGCAGCTCCCCATCTCCCTCCCGAGAAAAGCCCGCTGCCCCTGGACAGCTGCATGCCGCGTCTCCCGCTGCCCACGGACGGCTCCAGGAGAGCTCCTCGCCTCCTCTTCCTCCCCGCCGCCGCTCCTCTTCCTCAGCCCCGAGCCGCGGCACAGATGCCTGCACCGCTGTCTCCGTCTCGTCTCCCCCCTCCGCTCTAAGTGGAGAGACGCTGCTGCAGGGCTCCCGGAGCGCTGCCGAGGATGCTGAAGAGGAGGAGGAGGAAGAGGAAGAGGAGGAGGAGGCTGCCGGGGCCGCCGCTGCTGCTGCTGGTGACAATGGGCTGCGGCTGCCGCCGCTGCTGCCGCCGGGTGCGGTGTCCCCGGGCGCACGGGGCGGAACTGCCAGGCTGGAGGCCCCCGATGGCCACAGGCATCTTGGGCCCCTGGGCTAAGTTGCCGCCATCTTCGTCCTGGAGAAACACTTTTTTGGGGGGAGCTCTGCCTTTTGCGTCATCTCCTCCCGCGCCGAGATCTCTCTATCCTGGCGCATTGGCAGCAGCAGCAATTCTGCCTCCTCCTGCCTGAAGAGGAGGAGGAGGGGGAGGAGGAGGTGGGAGAGGCACTGGGGACCACATGGCCCCTCCAAAGGGCCTCCTCGGTGCTGCTCTTTCCACTCGCTTCCCTACTTCCCCTCTCTGAAGGGGCTACTCAGAACCAGCCTGCAGACCCTCTCCCCTTTAAGGTCTTCTTCCTTTTGTGGCCTCAAAACATCACATTCACACAGGATGGTGGCTGGAGAGATGTGTCTCCGTGTCTGTCCTTGTCGTAGTAAATAGCCAGCAGCACATCAAACTCCAGGCACTGGGCAGCAGCTGGATCCTGACAGGGTTTAGTCCCATGTTAAAAACCTTGAGGATGCCTGCTCATCTTCCAATCAGCAAACTGGAAAGCAAAATGTCCATAAACCTTACGCAGTTGCCCAAGAGAAGTTCTGCAAAAGCCAGGTCCGACACATGACCAATGTAAATGCTGTCAGTCTGCTTGCTTCAGCTCAGAGATTCTGTTTCTGTCCAGAGACCAAGTGYAACTCATCTATTGATGGAGGCCAAATTACTTATGATCTCCTTTTGGACCTGCAGCAGAGATCCCACCGCCTTCTGGTCCTTGCCCTCAATATTTCTTGCTTAAATAAATGTTGTGTTTTTTTCACTTCAAAAATATCTTCATCTTGCTTGCTAACACACTGGAATGGAAGAATAACAGAAAAACTTGAAAACTGCATAGGACAACTGAAGCCACTTGTTAGGGGGTTGAATGTCACCAGGTGAAGACTGTTTGGAGCTTCCAGCAACAAGATCGTCCTCCTCCTGAGCTATAAGGTATGCTTCTCATAACAGCATAAACAAGATCAATATTTTTATTTACCCAGTGGGTTAGGAGAACATGTAGAAGAACATACTCCCAGTACAAGAGGGATGTGGAGCTGCTGGAGAGAGTCCAGCGCAGGGCTACCAGGATGATCAGAGGCCTGGAACATCTGCCCTCTGAGCAAAGGCTGCTCTCAGCCTCTTGTCCTCAGCCTGGACAAGAGGAGGCTGACGGGGGACCTGATCAGCGTGTATAAATACCTCAAGGGAGGCAGTGAGGAGGAGGGGGACAGCCTCTTTTCAGTGGTGGGCAGCGATAGGACTAGAGGAAATGGCTTCAAACTGAAGCATCGGAAGTTCCACAGGAACTTAAGGAAGCATTTCTTGACAGTGAAGGTGACAGAGCCCTGGAACAGGCTGCCCAGAGAGGTTGTGGAGTCTCCTTCTTTGGAGATCTTTAAAACCCGCTTGGATGCAGCCCTGTGCCACGTGCTCTAGGTGACCCTGTGTGAGCAGGGGGGTTGGACTCGATGACCTCTGAGGTCCCTTCCAACCTTGGGCATTCTATGATTCTATGATTCTATGATTCTATGATTCTATGATACCAACTCTCATTCCCCCAGCTTTCTACATCTTAGGGAAGAATGTCCAGTAATGCCTGCCCCTCCATCAGGTTTGCAAAGTGCTCCATGAAATGCAGTTTTCCCCATTACTTGGTCAAAGAAAACTTTATTCCTTTACAAACACTATGATCACATCTGAGATGTGTAATAGCTGAGGGTTCTCTAATTAGATATCAAAATGGGTAGAGGGACAAAATTGGAAACTAACCACTTGAGAGCCTGTACCTTTCCAACTGCATCCGTCACTCCCTAAAGAGTGAGTTTACCAAGGAATATGCTGGATTTTCCATCACTTTATATAATAAATTCAAGGCTAGATGTCTTTCAAAAAGAGATGGTATACCTCTAACAGAAGACACAGGCTTGAGGGAGGAATTGCAGAATGAGATTTTATGCCCTGCGTTATGCTGCAGGTCAAAGCGCATTATCATAATGGTCTCATTTGGCCTTAAAGATCTATGAGTCAAATTCTGCACTGAACAGAAGTTATGTGCCCATTTTATTTTAATAGACTATTTAAAGATACAGAAATAAGTGGTAATATTATTTAAAAAAATCCATAGTACTCAGAATGCATCCTAGCAATTCTCACTCAATCAGCTTACACCATCTGCTAATGGCATTTTATTAGGCTTAGTTTTGGATCTTTGATTCCTGTGATTTGACATACTGGGGCCCRTAGTGTATGTGCATTTTTCAATGCTTTCTGCTCTGGGACGTGATGGTGATTGAGCTTTTAAAAGGCAGTTAGAATAGCTTAACCTCTCTGACATGTGACGTCATTTATTTAATTATATGTTGCTTGCTTATATGGTTATTTATTTATTTTAGTGATAATATAGAGGACTGAAAACAAAACATTGAGATCAAAACCTGCAATAAGGAACAGGTTTCTCATAACAGAATTCTGAGACTTTAAAAATATGCTATATTAAGACATGTGGCACTGGAATAATTATTGTCTTTTTGGCAGTCAAATTTGGGATAAAGGAAGTCGGTTTTGCATTGACTATCTGTCAAAAGATCTTGAGGATTTTTGTTTGTTTGATATCRGTGCCCTCTGGAAAGAGAGAAGGTAATAGACATTTTTGCCATTGTTGGCATTGGAAATGTCCTATAACTCCATAAAAGAATTAAAACTTGGTGATGAAAACTACTGGTCTCTAGGCCTCATTCAAGCCATATCCAGACCTCATCCAAAATTTAATGCAGGAATGAATTGATAAAGAAGTCTGTGTTGCTCTATTTGCACTTGTCTAGAGCTAAACTCAGAATAAATCTACTAGCTTTTTTTTTTTTTTTTTTTTTTTACATATACTTGGCTCCCCTGAAACATGGCATTCAGTATTTTTCACACATTTCCCAACTTTTGTCTGGAAAAGAGAGTGAGAGTTCTCTTTCAACACCTAGTGATAAACCACAACGTGGAGCCTACAGCGGCATTCCCAAGACGTGTGTGTCCTTGCTTTTCCAGTCACAGCTTTCTGTAACAGAGAATGTGTCATGCAGAACTGTTGTCTCGTCTGCTGTGTTTCCCCCAAAGCCCCATTCTCCCTCCACCTAGCATGGTGAATAAGTTATGCTGCTAGTGGCAGCAGCTGCTTCCTGATAGATCTGAGCAGATGCAGTTCAGTTCTCTGGTGCCCCTTAGTGTTAGGTCTTGGAGCTCAAGGGATAAAAAAAAAAAAAAAAATTAAAGATATAAAATATTTGAAAATCAGAAAGCTGGTGTTATGTGATGGGGGGAAGCACCTGAAGTATATGTATCTGCTCTTTCCCAAAGTTCCTTTAGCATTGTTCTACCATGATCTGTTCTGAATAATGGATTTTTTAAAACTAGGTTAATTAATTATCTGAACTCAAAGGGACAAGCTTTTCTCAAAACTATCATTACAAAAGTATGTAGCCSTATTCGTTGTTCCTCCTAAGTGATTCTACTAGCACAATGTACTGTCTTCACTCTGAAAAGACATTTTTCTATTGGTTATATGTGCTTGGCAAGTACAAGGAAGTTTGTCTTTCTAGTCAGCAGGGTCAAGATATGTTCCCCAACTCCTCTTCTTGAAGCAGTTCAGTTTAGCACACGTTAGCTCAGCCTTAGAGTGCTTTAATCATTGCAATTGAGGTTCTTCTATTTCTTTGATTTATCATTTGCAAGATAACTAATTTACAAAATACAGATTGAGCAATGAATAGCTTTTACAAAGCTTTAAACAATTGCTCCATCTAAACACTATGGGTTTTCTTAGTGAAAGTATTCTTGCTTAGAAGGCAACAATATTTTTTGACACAACATGATAATGGCTAATCAAGATKCATTAAAAGAGAAGGCTTTACTACTTCTAAGGGAATGTTCTTAAATTTTTGCCTAATATGATACATACAGTAATCCACTTTTCTTTTTTTTTTGCATTAGTTGTTTACTTTTTGTTGATTTGTGATAGAAACTTGTGGTCTCCAGTGTATTGTATGTAGGTCTTACAGATATTTAAAAATATCTGTAAATGTTTAATTTAAAACAGGTGGGATAGGTGGAAGTGTCTTGTCTGTGCAAAATGTGTATTCTTGTAACTAGAAGCTTACATAACAAAAATATATTTTCTAATTGCTACACACCAACTTTTGTAAAATCCTTCAGCAGGCTATTTTTGAAGTAGATTTTGTTTTATTTTTGGGTCGACTACTTCTACTGATGTTGCAGCAATTA